CAGTTATTTTTCGCAAAACTTTTTAGTTAAATCAGTTACAGAAGACGATGACGTGGCAATCCGGGTTAACAGAACTCGGGGCGCTACAGCTTGGTATCACTAGAAGGAGACTTGCTGAGTCTATGAAAAAACTTGTCTTCCCCATCCATATCAATAATTAAACAATATATCAAGAAAATCATAAGAACTTTTATACAATTATGAGGTGGTGAGAAATGAGTTGTGAAATTAGGAGCCCCAATTTTTATTTTTTTTTTGGTAGAGTGAACGACTTGGACGGCAAAAAAGGAAGAAAGTGGAGTGGGAGATCGAGTTGGGGAGGAACTAGAAACTAAAGAAAAAAAATTTAAGAAGTTCAAGTTACAAAATACATCTGCTAGAACAATAATTTTAAAGATTTAATCACTCTGATATTTCAAATATAACGAAGAGAAACCCGCATCTTACCCTAAACACAGTCGACCAACTTATGTGACCCACAGTTTTGACTAATTTTTCTATTACACATTTTATGATCAACTTTTATCAAAATCTACTAATAAACACAAAAGAATAGAATAAATGAGCATTTAACTTGAGAAGGTATTATAAATCTCGTTCAGATATAGCGAATAACGGAACTTTTAGCTTGAGAAGGCATTATAAGTTTTGTTTCTCTAGATTCAGTATTGCCATGAAATTTGGAGTGAAGTCTGTTTTGTGTCACATAACAATTTGACAAAAATCTTGAGTTTACTTATTGGGTTAGGCAACTAATTCGGTTAAAGAACAAACTTGCAATATTCAAAAAGGTTAGTGATCAACTTGCTACTCGAACATAAATGAATGACCAAAATTCAAATCGTCACTAAAACTTTGGACTTATTTTAATGTGGTCAGTCATCTTTAAGTTGCTCCCAAAAGATCACTCAACTTTATTTTCACTTTTTTTTTTCTAAATGAAATGACAAATATGACACAGTTTAATTGCCATGCATTAACAAGGGAATGGAAAGAGAGAAATCTCAACATTACTAACATTATACCTATGGTTTTACATCACATTCTCAGCACATTTCATTATTCCGAGTGAGGTTCTTTACTTGGAGGCGGAGGCTTCACAATGAGAATGGGACACTGGACGTGATGAGCACAATAATTGCTAGCGCTTCCGAGGAAAGCCCTGCAAGCAGAATATCATTACACGATTAATGCTTAAGCAGCAAAGATTGATGATAACGCACAATTTAAATCTTTAGACTTCTTTCAGTTCCAGCAGCGCAAGTAACTTGGACCTTTCTTTTCACGTGATCAATTAGAATTAAATGGGGCCACGAACAACTATTAGTACATATTTTGCTGCTTTGGTATGAAGAATTTTACTTTCCTATTCTATTAGTCTGTTAGAGAGAGACATGTTCAGCAAACATCATCATAAAGATTTTGTTAATTTTACAACATAGGAAAAAACAAAGAAGAAACATCTTCCAATGCTGTTTAATTAGCCATCTTATAGTCGATCAAGCATGTAAATTTAATGGTCAGGATTATGATGAAAAGTCATATTTCAGAAGTTTTACCGTTTGAATGTGCCAAGCCCACGGCTACCAATGACTAAAAGATCAACATGTAATTGTTCTGCAGCTTGACAAATCCTATCCTTCAGATCTCCTTCAAGAATTAAAGTTTCTGCTTTGATCTGAGTGAAATATAGAATGCATGCACAAATCAGTAAATTAAATGCAAGACTGAGTTAACATAATGAATCTGAAATTTAGGAATTAAACGTGTGAAACCTCGATAAATATGAACTACATATATAGGGCCTAAACGCCTCATCAGCTTATACAGCGAGAGGAGTATGGGGAGTTGAAAGGAAGATAACAACTCGGGAAAATATAAGGAGAAACAAAGCACAAGAAAGACAGCTTGTCAACCATGGTAGTAAACTGCAGAAGCAGATTATGACAGATTATCTTCTTCACTTCAACACAAAGAAGATTACGGCAGCTAGCAAAACGGATATCGTTTATTTTAAGTGATAGACAAATTATACAAGAAATCTTTATATATTATTAAAACATATACAACAATTAGAAATATGAACAATGTCACTCGTACATAATGATTTACATACAAATGAGGTGTCAAAAAGAGTGATATATATATATATATATATATATATATAGTTGAGGTCAAAACCAAGGTGACAGTCTCCAAGTCAACTTATATATAAATATCAGCCAAATATATGACAAGCTTCATTGACTAGGTTGTGGGGCAATCTATTTCGTATGAGGTTAGCTAGCTAACAAGGTTCAGAATTTAGGTTGCGTTTGGCACACCGGCTTAGACCACAAGGAATTCAATATAAAATTGTAATTGAATGCATTGGGAAAATGGCCGTATTATGGTGGATTAAGGTCAGTTCATTTAGAACAAATGCCATTTACTTTATCTTTTCTTATTCGACCTAAACTCACCTCTAACCTTCGCATTATGTTGCAAGGCTAGTGCAAATGATTATCTTTTGACTGAAAAAATAACCTTATTATTTATATTAAGTTCCTTATATAGCCTTAGTGTGCCAAACATATACTCCGGATTTCCAAAAATAGGGAGAGGAAAAAGGGGAAGAAAAATAATTTCCATATGCAGTGAGACAGCTCAGTAACTTTCATTTAATGCTGTGGGGACATGGATGGATTGGTCACAATTCAAGCGAGCAGTCCACATTAGTTACACGATAGACGAGCGAAAATTTAACTCAATTAGTTTTGATCAATATAAACATTAAACTAGCTTGCAGTTCAATCCATAATCCTAAGAAAATAAATCTACCTTCTTTTCTCTGCACACATGCAAAGCACGAGAGAGTATAGAAGCAGCATTTTGTGCTTGGGCTTGCTTAACAGCATCCAACATGGCAGGCGTGGCATAGACCACTGTGGATTATTTGAAGAATCAAAATAAGTGCTTGTCTGAAAATGCTTAAAAAGTTTCAAAAAATATTAATTTTAACCACTGTGGACCCAACTTTTGTCATAATATGCTATAACTTTTATTGAAAGTGTTGTAGAACAACCCCTAAGTCTCAATAAAACAAAGCCCCCATTTGTCTCTCTTTAAAACAAAACTTTTTAATTTTGATACTAATTTTTAATTACAAATTTACACAATAAAATATTTTACACATAAACGCAAAACCTTTTACTACTTTTTAAAATCATTTTTCAAAACTCCATATTTTCAAACCAATGGGCAAAATATCTAGAATACACATATAGTAAAAAAATATTTTCCTGTATATAGATTATACCTCTGTTTGCGTAAACTTATTACTAACTTTACAATAGTAGATCTCACCTTTTGGAGTGGATATATAATAATAAGTAATAGTTATAAATGTGTGGTTGAAATTAATGTGCGAGCATTTGACCATCAAGGTTTTAATTTCAGGTTCGAATAACGTAAATCTTGTGCTCCCCATGTTATTCTAGAAGTGTATGGTATATAAAAATGTATTTACTGAGAACGAAAGGGTACCTGGTCCAGCAGGGTAAATGAAGGGTTGGAAGATTGGCTGAACATGGACCAAAGTGATCATGCTAGGCTCCTGATCACGCTGAATAGGATAACAGAAAAAGTGATCAAGTGCCCACTTAAGTGCATAGAAACTTCCATCACTCTCATCCATAGCCACCAACACCTTCGTTTTCTTTTTCTCCTCCGCCGCCGCCGTCGCCGTCGTCGTCAACAGCTGATATGCAGCTCCCTCTGCTCCTGTACTACTCGTCTCAGCTGTTGTGGTATCCATCTCTCTGTCTCTCTCCCTCCTTCGCAGAAAGTATAGTCCACTTTAATAAGTTCTGACAAAATTTGAACTCTAAAATCTTTATTTGGTGTAATTCCTCGCCTGACAAGTGTCGTCCATGCATAAAGAAACATCCATTTGGACATGCAAAGGAGGACAGCTATAGCAACTAGCAAGCCCCACGTTGAAGCCCCTACCTCACTCCCATCAAGTTTTAATTTTACATTCATAACCTCAGTCTATTCATCTATAATATATTGAATATCACATACAATCATTTTTGGATGATTTTAATCCCGCTACAATTCAATTATTTCAATAATACATTACTTTTCATTTTTCAATATGTAATAAATACTACAAAATTCTTGTCATGTATGATTTTCGTGTTATTAATTCTCAATTAATTAACATTCACATTAATCTAGACTCAATGAAACTTGACTTGATAAATTTTGATCTACATGAATCTAAAGTTATTGTAGATGAATTTATTTATATTCATATATTTAGGAATTTTAATGAGTGTTTAAACTCATGTATTAGTAATTAATTCTTATATACCAAATGTAGTATAAAAATGTTGTTCATTTGTAGTATTTCATCTTTAAAAAAATTGAATCATAGAAGTTGAGTTTTGAGTACAATTTTCTTCTCTTAAACTTATATCCTAAATTTTATTTTCTTTACTTCGCTTGAGACTCATCAAATCCTCCCAAAAAAATTGTATCAAATATTACTTTTACGGTACTTATACAGTATTTTCAAATAATTTGCAATGTACGTTCAACTTTGACTAATATAATCAAATGTTAAATGACACATGACACATGACAAATAGAAATGTTTAATGTCAGCATTTTAAAAAGAATAACGTTTGGTCAATAATAAAATCAAGCTTTAAATTTTTACAAGCTTAAGTGGTTTTGACGAAATTTGAGCGTGAAAAGGTGAAAACACGTGGTTAGGTGATAAGTGTATTTTATACACTTATTTTTACCTAAAAATACAGATATTTAATAGTTATTTTGAGCAATTATAGCCTAATTTATTGTATATTTTATTTATTAGGTAAAACTCTATGATTGAAAGTAGAATATAAAGAAGGAAGTGAAAAACATGAAAAATGACGAAATTCAAAGTTCGAGGACCAAATTGTAAATATCCAACAGTTGATGCATGCCACAAAACGATACTTTGAAGATTGTTAGGAGTAACTTGGATGCAATTAGAAGTCAAAAAGGAATGAAATATGATCAAAGTATTATCACAAATCATTTTTTTTTTTTTTTGCCTTGAGTAAATTCGTGAACAATTTAGGTCAAGTCTAAAAAATTTTCTTGTAAAGAGGAATTCTCCCTAATTAAAAAAATTGCAATTGGCTCTTAATTTTTCAAAATCATTTTTGATTTCCCTCATTTTCCAATAAAGATAGTTTTTTTTTTTTTTTTTTGAAGATTGAATGATTTAAAGCAAGTTTTTGAAATTTTCAAGAACTTCATCGTAAGAGATATATAATTCATCATACGAACAATTTTCATTTGAATTTGCCTAATTTTCAATAGCCATGAAGCACATGTTGGCAATTTCCTCTTGAATTTCATCTTTTTCATGGTCATCATCATCACTTTCATTTTATATTGCTTGGAGTGCTTTTTTTTTTTTTACGAATCTATTCTTTTCTTCATGATTTCTTCTTTCTTTTAGAATCGACGATTGTTGAGAAAACATTTTCATTTCTTAATAAGAAGAACTAGACCATCGAATTCTTCATCATTCAAATTTTCGCTTGAAGTTCCTTCATCAATTATGAATTTTAAAGTAATTTAGCATATTTCATCTTTTTTACTTTTCATTGTCTTCTCCTTCGTCTCGGTGTGATTTAGATTTTAGCTCATGTGTCATCAATGTTTCATAGAGCTTTTCTAATGGATATGTATTGATATCTTTGGTGTTTTCTATCAACATTCTCAATGAGCTCTAATTTTTCGAGAGAGACCTAAGCATTTTACTCTAAGTTCACCGTTAGTAGAATTTCTATTAAATCCCTTAAGATCATCAACAATCGATTCATTTTGCTTCATCAAGAAGGTTTCAAAATTTTTAATTAAGAGATTTATCTTAGTTTCTTTCACTTTGCTAGTACCAACATGAGTGACTTCTAATGCATGCCAAATATCATATGCGGAATCACATGTACGAATATGACGACTAAATTCATTTCTATTTACAGCACAAGAAGTAAATTTTTGGCTATAGCATTCAAAGACAATATTCTTTTTTCTTCTTCATTATATTCCTCTCTAGGTTTAGAAATTATTTGATCCGATTTACTATCCTCTTTAGTAATCTTTTTAGGCACACAGAGACCAAATTCAATGACTTTTCAAACATTACAACTATAAATTGAATATAAATCATCATCCTAACTTTTCTATAATTATAATGTGTGACATCGAAAAAGGGTGGACAGTTTGTAGAATGCCCCTCAATGTTTTGAAGATTGTGGTTAGCCATTACTCAATATTGTAAAATCTTTAAAAATGAGCACCTTCGTCTAATACTAATTAATAGCCCAAGAATAACTATTCAAGATGGGGCAATATGGTTTTTAAAACTTTTTCGAATAATTAATCTAAATTCAATTAATAAGTAGAAATATGAAAGCGATAAATAAAAGGGAAGAGAGGATGCATACGATATATTTGTAGATATTTGATCCAAATCAATGATCCACGTCCTTCGTTACCAAATTCTCTTACATGAGTAAGACCTTCTCACTATATTGATTGACTTGGTACAATCTAACCTTTACAACGCTTTCGATAACTACAAACAAGGAGTATCGATCCTTATACAATATTGAGTTTTACGAAACCTCAATATGACTCACACGGTGACTTACAACAAGGAGCATCGATCCTTATACAATATTGAGCTTTACAAGATCTCAATATGACCCACATGGTGACTTACAACAAGGAGCACCGATCCTTATACAATGTTGATCTTTAAGGGACTTCACACAATTCAAATAATTTTACAAATGAAATNCACATGGTGACTTACAACAAGGAGCACCGATCCTTATACTACTGAGCTTTCACGGAACCTCAATACAACCTACAAGTTTAGAGTAAATGATTTTACAATGGAAACTCTCTTTTAATAAATGATACAAATGAATTAAGTACTAAGAGAGGCTAACAAATCAATGAATAGCAATCAATGTTAACTCAAATGTTAGATGAAAAACTTTGATATGATAATTAGAAATTTGATTTAATAAATCAAAATTTTTCAATGAGAAGAAGAAGAAGAAATAGATACATCGTAAGTTCGAAAATCTTCTCAATATATATATCTCTTTTGATGAATGCTTGTAATAAATTAAGTACCAAGAAAGAGATGAGAAACTTTAATGAATAAGATTATTTTACAAGTTTGATTCAATCAATCAAAGTTTTCAATATGAAAAAGTAGAAGAAATAAATGCAATGTAAGTTTAAACATCTTTTTCAAAATATATCTCTCTTTTATGAGTAATAGAAATAAGTTGAGTACAAAAAGAGGGATAAAAACTTTGATAAAAATGATGATTAAAGAGTTTGAATCAATCAAAATTTTTTATATGAAGAAATAAATGAAATGAATGTAAATGTAAGTCTAAAGAAATCTTTCAAAATATAGCTAACTTTTATACTCTTGAAAGTCTCTTGGAAGAATGAAAAGAGTGAGGATATTTATAGAGTCTAAAACACCAAAAAATATTTAAGTTTGGATGACTTGTCCGGTTGATCGTATCTTATCCGGCTGATCAATATAACCATTTATATAGTAAATATCAGAGGTCCGAACGGTCAAATTTTGGACCGTTGGAAACTTCCGGTCGATCGCTTCTTTTGCCCGGTCAACCGCTCAACAGTTTTGGTCTTCTTACGTTTTGACCTTCGTTTGATGTAATTCGAAGGTTTTAAAAGGCATAGACTTTTGAAAAGTATTTGTAACTAACTTTTGAAGATAAAAGATATTTTTCAAATTCAAATGACATTTTAAAAGTCATTTTTATATATGATCAAAACATTGTAATAGAATAACTTTTAATGTACAAAATTGTTTTTAATGTATAGAAGAATTTTGAGTCTAAAACTTCGTTGTTAAATATCAAAGTATTAATACCATTACATTTGATGTAAGAAAACCTAGTATTTGACGTTTCTTTGAAGCTTAGCTCTTAATCTCTCACTTTGATCTTTCTTTGTTGTTCAGCTCTTAAAATCTTGACCTTGATTTTTCTTTGACATTTATCTTTTAAGCTCTTGTTGGATGACTTCAATCTTGACCTTCTTCATGAGTTCAATTTGTGATAGTCTTGATTTTGTTCTTTTGACGACGATCGATCAATTTATTATTGAATGTTTTGAGGACTATAATCACTTTAAATTCAATTGTTAGTAAACAAGATTAACTAGTTTGTTATAATAAAAACTTCAAGGTTAAATCAACCATAAGTCAACACCTTTATCCGTCTATAGGAAATTAGGACTTGGAAAAGTTAAAGCAATAAATGTTTCACTACAGCTAGCTGGCTAGCTAGCTGAAAGAAGCATCAAATATCTAGGAGGCATGGTTGATGATAGAGGTGTCAAGACGGACGGGCCGGCCAGACCCTTGAAAATCGGCCCGGATTAACCTGGGACCGCGGGCTGACCCGTGACTCGAGGGGTGGTTCACGGGTCAAGGAGGTGTGACCCGCGGGCTTCGAGGGTTGCACCTTCACGAGCTGCGGTTAACCCGCTGGACCGTGAAAACAAAAATTTTAATTTGAAAAAAGGGGGCCCCAACTAGCTTGCTGCAGCATGTTAGCAGCAAGTTGGCACCAGCATGCCATGAATGAAGAGCCAATCGTTGGCTCTTCGTTGTTCGTTCGTTCTTTATTATTATTTTTTTCTAACGGTA